ACTTTTTGTTATTTAATAGATTACGCATTCTCTAAACAATGATTAGTATATCTATTAACATTAGAAGGAAATGTGACGAAAATCACACAATTTTGGGGTTTTGGTCATTTGTAATTATATTTCTTAAGTAGGTAGGCTATGTATTCTATGGAAAAGTACCGGTATCAAGGATCGTCGTCGAAAAGGTTGTTATGAATAAATATGTAGGCTTACGTACCCAAGATATGAGCTATGGGCCTATTGGCTGTATGGTCCAGCGATTGCATCACACGGTGAGTAGAAACAGAAAGTGACACATTGGAAAAGCGAGTTTAGCACTTCATCTGTTAAACCTCTGTTACAATCACCCACTGCAGTTGTGATTTTTTACTTTACACTTTACACAACCGCCATTGAAGCGCCGTCAATGAGTGGAAACCTTTTTTGTAAGCTATTGGCGACGATCATTTCAGTGTCCCAGCCCTATAGAATACTGATTCAAGGTCTTCTTTCTGGTTATCAAAACTCAAGAAACATTTTATACTCAAAGAATTTTTGGTTCCGATCTGGATGATGCCTAGTTATTTAATTTCATTTACGGTTACACTATTACTTTATATTATTGCACTTGCGATTAATTAAATCCGTTATATAAGAAAAATGTTTTTAATCTCACTTGGTTGGGATTTGCTTTCAAAACGTGATTCGAAATGGTTGCGGTATTTGTAAACAACATTTGTAAACATATCAGTGACAGCTAGAAAAAATAATCTTGATCCGAACAGCTGTTCGTTATTTCATAGACGATTATGTGATAAAAATTGAACGAAAATTTGACAAAAATCGCACAAAACCGCATTTTCGAACGTCCGTAATTTTATTTACAAAGTAGTGAGGCTATATTTTAATCACTAAAGACACTCTCGCCAATCCAGTGAATACATTAAAATGACTTGGATCTTGATAGGTACTCTGGTTTTCACGGAGAAGATTGCGTAAAATGCCATCTTGAGTGTTACAGACAGAGGGAAAGACAGACAGACAGACAGAAATAGAGATAAGACTCGTTTCTGCTTCTTTAATGTATAAAACGTAAAAATAACCTAAAAATATATAATTCTGAGCAATGTACAGACAAAACTCTAATTTTATTTATATAGAAGATTAATAGCTTAGTTTAAAATAAATAAATTTTCCAAGTTTCATTAAAATATAATCATAACAAGCAAACTACAACAGTTTATTTATGTACTCTCCGTAATAATAACATAGGAGTTTTAAATTTACAATATTTTGAATTTTCTCCGTAACCAATAACCTTATAAAAACACTTCAATGCACTAAATGTTTGTTTGATTAAGATCTTCAAAATAGTTTAGAGAAAAATTAGGGAATTTCATGTTTCGAGGGTCAAACATGTGGTTCGAACGTAAGAAAACCCAATTTTTACCCCTTAAATTACCCCAAAAACCCCGTTGCCCTGGTCCGACCACGCTGGTTCGCGAACTTGTTCGAAGAAACGTTGGTTTACACATTTTTGCAAAATTTCATTAAAATCGGATAATTTTTGCTAACGGACACACACATATACAGTGTGTTCAAAGAAGGTAGGGACAAAGTTTACGAGTTGATTCATTGGATCCAAATAAGAAGAACATAAGGAATAACATTTTTTTACGAAATCGCTTCGTTAATAGATATCCATTATTTTATATGTTTTTCATTAACATTTTATCCTTTATAACTTATATTGAAGATATTGGCAATTAATAATGAAATGTACCGGTATAATTAAATTTACAAGTTCAACAAGGCAAATAAATATAAAATAAAAAAAATGTATTATATATTGGCCTTGTTGAACTTGTAAATTTAATTATACATTTCATTATTTTATCCTTTGATAATTTTGACTGAACTTTTATGAAAGTTGGTATTTATGTAAAGGTAGAAGATACCAATTAATTTTTTTATTCAAACCAGCATGATCGGACTATGGGAACGGGGATTTATGGGGGGTTTTATGGGGTGAAATTTGGTTTTTCCCATTTTGGACCCAAAAAACATAAGATTTAGCAATTTCTTTCCAAACCATATTGTGGAGCTAAAAAAAAACAAATAATTTAGTATATTGAAGTGTCATTATGTGCCTAACGGTAACCAAAAAAATTCTAAAAAATATTTAAATTTAAAATTCCCATGTTATTTATATGGAGAATAAGTAAACTGTTGTATTTTGCTTGTTTATGAACATATTTTGATCAAATTTGTAAAATTTATTCATTTCATACTAAACTATTACATTTCATAAAAAAAAATAAGTTTTTACCCTCCCTGTTGTAGCAAACCTAAGTACTCGTTAAACAAATGCTATTTCAATGGGGAATAAATGTGATATTTTTAAGGAGATATTTTTGAGTAAATCCAATCAGGCAAATGGAAATTCGCTAAGTCTGCAGGTTTGCTGCGGCGGGGGTATTATAAGGTAATTGGTTACGGAGAAAATTTAAAACATTGTAAATTTAAAATTCCCATGTTATTATTACGGAGAGTACATAAACTGTTGTAGTTAGCTTGTTTATGATTATATTTTAATGAAACTTGGCAAATTTATTTATTTTAAACTAAGTTAAACTAAGCAGCATTTTTGTATGTAACATTTTCACATCGAGAGATGATTGTCAACTATATACAGGAACCACATATATACACAAATGTTTGTGTATATATGTGGTTCCTGTATATAGTCGACAATCCTCTCTCGATGTGAAAATGTTGCATACATAAATGCTGCTGAAGATGAGCCATATTATTAGGCTCGAAACATGTACAGCATAATCAACTACAATTGATACCTACTGGCATACGTGATACGTAAGTAGATAATTATCTATAATAACATGATATATTTATATTCTTCCAAAATGCAAACATGGAAAATTTTGAAGCCCATGGGGCTTATCCCAAGGGAAATATGAAAATAAAATTATATAGTAGCATTGTCATCCATTTGTGAACTATGTTTCAAATCAAGTTTCTAGCTCTTCGGGAAGTTAGTTTAAAATCGATATAAAAATTCGTACTGGACAAGAAAGCGAGCTAATAAAACAAGCCCAAGGGAAATATGAAAACTAAATGATATAATATTGCATTATCATCCATTTGTGAGCTATGTTTCAAGTTTAAAGTCTCTAGCACATCGGGAAGTTATTTCAAAATTGATTGCAAAAAAGTACACCAATATCAATGTTAAGGATTTTCATCTATGGGTGATTAAATAAATCAATGTTCACTTTTGTGTGTTCCTCAACTGGAATTTATTCTATGCATGTAGCAGATACATTCTTACACTTAACTGACACAATATTTGTAGAAATAGAATACTTACAAACTAAGAAAGACACAAACATTTCAAAGCAAAACAACTCATATGTCTCAACTTTATGTACATACTACATAAGATCCGTTATGTAAACTTTACAGATTCGTATCCTCAAATAAAAATAAGAAAACATAACAATACAGTATTTTAGATTAAAAGTGTATCGATAAACAAAATTACACAGTTCATTGGCTTGGGAAGCGTGTATATGTGTATGATACCGATTATGACTAGAGAATTATAAGATGCAGCTCATAGTGAAGGTGATGTTACTACCAAAAAAAGTTTAGTGAAATGAAAGATATCATATGCAGAAAAACATGACATAACACTTACAGCCAAATAGTAAAAATGTTAAATGTAAGATCCAAATCTGGCTAAATGGGTAAATATTTTTCAATCCTAAATTATTTAGGGCCATGTTTTTAAAGTTGGAAATTAAAACGGTCCTTGAACATTGGGCTTAATATCTTGTCCTGGATCAAAAATACTAGTTGGGTTTAGCTAGAAACAAACACATAGCATTCCACCTAACGCATACTTTTTTTTTCAATCTTACCTAGCAACAACAAACAAAGTATGCAAAAATATCAATAATTAAAAAAATTAAATTGAATCTAAACTATCGAGAGAAGTTGAGAGGTTTGAGTTTAATAGATTAAATTTACATATTCTTTGCAATATGGAGAAATTATCCTTGTAACATGCTTCAAGTGACTAATGATTAAAATGTGTACAACTAAAACCTTAAAACGCAAATTTTATATTCACCTATTAATTTGTAATTTTCAGGTAAGAAATATTCCTCTCTTTGCTTTTGTTTGAATGATGAATACGCATATATTATATCACTTCATTTCACTAAGCTTTCAACAAATAAAAAACAAACTAATTAAAGTCTACATATACGTCTAGCAATTTGGACTTTTAAAATGTTCCATTTAAAAATGGAATACTTTCTCATTAACTTCTAATATTGACATATAAAATTAAAATTTAATTTAGATTTCACTAAGCATCTTATTTAATTTATAATTTATGTAAAAAAGTACAAAATGGGTTAATGTGTGGGAAATAAAGGCTAACGACTAAAACTATTGCACGACATTGATCGGACCTGCCGACATTAACAACATTGAGCCCAGCTAGACTAATGACACCCGCCAATCCACATCACTACGACTGCGGACAGGCGGCAAAATACATCAATAAATATTTCCACCTTAAATGTATAATTATGAGCAGCTAGACAATCATTGATCTACGTTCAAAATATATGATATTCTTATTCACAGTTATATACATCGAACAAATAACAATTAATAAACTTCTAGCAAGGTATAATGTCCATAGATAGACTCTTATATCAATAGCACAACAATAAATATATGTATATCACATGATTGTTCTCAAAGCTGAAGCCTTACTTACAAAAAATAAATCATCTAACAACGCAATCTTTTATATACAAAACATATTTTACTTTCATTAATTAGCCTTGATCTGGAAATTTTTATAAAAAGGTTTTTGGAATGTTAAAATAATTTCATACACAAAAGAGTAAATCACATTGTTACGACTAACTTAAGAGATTAGGCATTAAGTAAAAAAAAAAAAAAACAACTGTGTAACCGGTACTTGTTAGATAAAAATTTGTAACAGAATTATTTATTGTCACACTAACTTGAAAATAATTACCAGGAGAACTAATTTAAGCAAAATAGTTGCTATACCTTGAACATGCAAAATTGTAGGAAATCCTTGGCTTCTTTAATATCTATTCTTAAAGCTTGTTATTTGTATACACAGTGTTGGTTCAAACCAGTGGCTTTATGAAAATGTAACTACAAGAACATTAGGTACTTTTGGTGAGTAAACATGTGCTTAGTTATTGTGAATGATCCCTGTCTCAAGTTGAACAAAATATGTCATGGTTTCAAATGCAAACTTAATGCCTTATTCATAACAGATATCTTAACCTATGTCTTTTCCATTTTCCAAATAAATCGCGTCTGTCATCTACTACACTAGACTACCAAGCGAAATTCAAAACATGGAAATGTATTAAATTGGAAATAGACGAATTCACAATAAAGTTTTTAGCAATATAACACTTCATCATTACGAATAATAAACGATCAACATTAAACAGTAAAAAAAAAATCAATTCACCAAGACTTTACATTCCTAATGACAAATTTCACATTCTGGAATAAAGCTTTGAGAATATTCCCGTTTTTAACGACCCCGCCTTTCTCGCATACACCGAGTACAATCTCACCCATAAACCAAAGTAAAAATTGTTACATCATAGACACAACAATGGAAAACGGTACAAAAGAATCCGAATTACAATCCGAGACACATCATTAAGATAGAACTTAACGATGAAAACAAGACTAATGGAAGACAAAAAAGTGTAAAGGCCTTCAAAAAGAAAACTGAGGTAGAGAAGGCTCGTAACATAACATCACCGGGCGGGTTAACATACAATGAACGGTAACAGACAGAAGCATGCTACGAGGAATGACGTGAGGATGGCGTCCGGACGCGACCAAGCGACGACGGACTTTGCCATCCATCGACGACACAAGAGGAGCAACCGACACAAGAAGATGCACTGATCCTTCACTTGACTTCATCTTCCTCCATGGGCTCAACTGACTCTTCTCTTGACCTCTCTGGACTCCTGCAAAAGGTAAACACATAAGTAGGGATGGACGAGATTGGATTTTTAGTTCGAGACGAGACGAGACGAGATTGAGACGAGATTTCCCTTCTCATACACAACGGGAAATGCACGCTCAAAATATTTACCTGATTTTGTAACATGTTAGATGACTGTTTAAATACAAAAATAATGATAATAGGCAAGAATATTTACAATCTTTTATTAAAAAATATCAGCATAACATTTTTTTATTAATCACGCCTAACTTATTAAAAATGCCTACAATTAGGAAACATAGTGATGTCAGTTAGGATTAGAGTTCAACTTATCCTAAAATAAAATAAATCATAAAATAAAAGCAATATTCATTTTTATAAAATAGTTACTTGTTTTGACTTTTTATAGTAACGAGTAATGTCCAGTGGTCGAAACTCGACCAAAAATATGTAATGTACTCACTTATATACATTACATGTATATAACATTACATTACATGTGGGGTTAATGTTTCACCCCACACTGTAAATAAAACATGTGATTGGAGTTTCTTCCATTTGTTTTGATTTTCTGTTTATATTTCGTTGTTATTTCGTCACCAGCATGGCAACGCATAAGATCCATGTATATTTTTTCAAATTTTTAAACTCATTTTTGCGCTTATCTTTGAGCCTATTTAAATTTATAAAGGGACTCTGCACACCTACAGGAAAATAGTTTTCCAACGGTATGCGTAGATTTTCCCTACGATGCACACGAGCTGAGAAAAAAGGTTTTAAAGAAACATGCTTGCGTATTAATATATAGATAGATAAAACATTCCTCACACTGCTTACACTTAACAAAACTTCTCAAATGTTATTAAAGTAATATTATTAAAATAATTAATGTAATATTTACATTTAAAGAATTAATTAAATAAGAACGCCTTCGCAAAGGAAACGCAACTACAACACGCTCCTGTATTGCGGGTATTGCATTCACTTTCTGCAGGCGTTTTTAATTTTTTTTTTAAATTTTTTTATTTTTAACTCTCGTCTCGATAAAAATCTCGGCCAAAAAGAAATCTCGTCTCGTGTAACGAGATGTAAAATTTCCCGAAAATTTCCCGAAATTTCGAGACTTGACCATCCCTACACATAAGTGATGATATGAGAGGAGCAACTGACATGCTGAAATCGTAGTTCAAGCTGAGTAGCTCCAAAAGGAATCCAGAAGAACCCCTCACATCCGGGCTCGGGTTTGAAAGTCCTTCAGGCACTTCTAGGATGCCAATATCAAAACGTACGTCCAACAGCTAACCAACTGCACGCATTTGTACCCGAGACTTGAGCAATTTCACAGGTTATCTGTTTATTTACATTTAACTGTGTACAGTACTCAGTTGAGTGAGGTTAAAAAAGTAGGCCTTAATCTGGGTTTTCCTAAGCACAGAAGCTGAGTGCAGAGAAGCGATTTTCCGCTCATCCAGTCCGCGGAAAACAGTACCATTAAATTACCTAAAACAAAAGGAGAGTGTCCACAGTCTGTATCTAAGCTTTGGAAAACCCAGCTTTACCTTTAAACATAAAAAAAAACAATGGACGAGAAAATTCAGCAAGAATTATAGACTATGTTAAGAGTCCTTAGAGGCTAGCGGCCATCTTGGATAATTTCAAACAGCTGCTGAAGAGTTATTTATCGTCCATATTTTTTTTCAAACACCAAAGTGTTAAATATCTAGTATACTATGAGAAGAAAATGTTCTTTGTAGTTTTGAATTGTTATCTAAGGGAGTCCACGGAAGGTAATGGCCATCTTAGATTTGCCCGTCAATGTCATAAGAACAATGTTAATTTCGTTAATTTCAAACAGCCGTTGAAGAGTTATTTACCTTCTCAAAATATTTTTTCAAACACCAGTGTGATTTTGACTGTGAGATTAGAAATTTCCTTTGTAGTTTTTTTATTCTTTTAAGAGTAAGAACGTCTAGGTTACAAGGACTCTTTAAGGCCTAATCATCTCCAAAGCCAATTCATTGTGAGTAATTTTTACCCCCATCCCTATTTAATATCTATATCTTTAGAATCCTTATTTATGCTATCTGAATTATGTTAATTACTTAACCACATATTACAATCAATTAATTCTGTATTGGTTTTAAAAACGTCAATTTGTCTAAAAAATAATCCCACAAAAGTTTTTAACATTATTTATGACTACATTTATTGATTACACATTATTATTAGGTATACATTTTCATTATTATAATTGGTTGGTTTATTCAGCCAAATTGTTATCTGGCCAGGGGCTTCGTCCTGTTGTTGCAGGATTTATTTAGATTCAGGGTTCTAATGTAAAACCATCTCATAACCCATTTTAAGTTGTGGTCTGCAAATACTATCAGAACTACTGAATTTTAATTTTAAAATATTTGACAATAAAAATCACAATAAAATATCAAATTTGAACATTCTGATTTGACTCACTGAATTTGTGAGGAGGCCTGTTGTTGCATAGAGAGTGACGCCATGGCTGAGACAGTGTCAGATTCTTCTCTCTCTGAGTAACTCGCCTCCATGGCTGAGCAAGACACAAGATGAGCCGTCTGCTTCAACACAGCCCAGTGACTCAACTGTGGGCAAACAAACCGAGTGTCAGACTAAACAAGACTGGATCAGTGGGTCTATTGTAGGGGAGAGGTGGGGGTCAAATTGTACAGAGACAATATTTTATGATTAGACTGTGAGTGTTGCAATCAACAACTTGTTCTGCTGACAGAAGGCGAGGAATGAGAGTATTTGATCCACGGGCGAGTTGGAAGATGTGATAGTGTGGTGTTTAGGAGGACGAGTTTCCATTGGGGGAGCTGTAGGCTACAGCCAAACAAAGTGTTTTGTAGAATTACCTTTCTAAGAAGTAAGTCCATTTTTTTTCCAAATTGCAATTCTTATTTAAGTATTTAGCTAAATGGGTAAATATGATTGTTGTACAAGAAGTCTTGGATCCATTTATTGAGGATACTGTGACACTAGGCTAGTAGTTGTACCTGGACAGCGATGGTCTTCTGCAAAGTGTCAACTGCGTTCTGACAAGGTGAGCGGTGTAGCTCCTCAGACGTGAGAGGTCTCGGGTCATCGCCCAGCAATGCCTTCACACACTCCTCCGCTGAGTCACAGATAGCTGCCAGGTCATACCCACCTTCCAGCGACAACACCACCTGCGTGACAACACTCACAATAATTAGGGATTCGCAAGCCACAATCAGGTTGGCCCCAAACCCAATTGCTTTGAAAAGTAAAATTTAAAATTTTTAGCGGTTGTAGTTGTTGAAATTGTAAACTTCTGCAATCCTGTCAAAATCGCGAAGTTCTTCCGTTTTTTTGCGGTCATGGCAAAATCGTAAGCAAATCAAATCAAACTGTCTTCATTCTTTGTATACAATTAGTACTACCTCTAGTTTGGCTTCACTGAAAAAATCAGCCTGGCACATCACTAGTTAAAATAATATTCTTTTTGATTTTTGATGTTAGATCTTCATTTACCTTTGTTATGGTAGTTATTTAATGTGTTTGGAAGGGATTAAACTTAAATTGGCTAGTTATAATTTTTCATTGCACCACATTAATTATTTCTTTGCTAAAAAAAAAAATCAAATTTTCACTAAATACTTTATGGAAGGACATAAAGACAGGGGTTCGTGTAGTACAACCAATCCATTCAGAACATTTGGTAAAACTATAAAAGAATTGCATCAGTATCGAGAATCGATAAATTTTGGTATCGACACATCATTAATTAATTATTATGTGTGTCATTATATTCCCTTGTTCCTTTTTTAACACGTTCGCTACTGCAATAGTACGAAATTTTTCATTCACATGGACCAGCGACGCATATGTGCGACGGCCGGTTTCCACCCATAGACTGTCGTCGCATATATGCGGCGGCTAGTCACATTAAAATAGACTGCTGTCGCATATTTGGGTCCGGGTTCTAATGTTATTAAAATGCTTATATCTTTGTAACGGTCTATTTGAAGGCACTGAATTCCCTGCAGTGGTCTACAGAGATGTCTGATGCACAACTGCGTCGCTTGGTCTGTGGATATGATGATTGGTGACGTCATATGATAGTTGGAAAAACTGGTCTTTACTTTCCAGCATCACTGAATGTATGTATGCAGTATGTATGCTGCATTATCCTATGTAGCTTTCATATTTGTTCAGTTGGCCTATAAACTGTTCTTGAATAATCTGTTTTTTTTTTTACTTACTTTCACCTAAAAACACAAACAAAAATGAACCGTCGCATATATGCGACGTTTGGTCTATTTCAAGAAAACTGTGATAATTTTCACTATTGTCTTCGCTGTAGACCGGGCGTCGCAAATATGTGACATTACAAAAGGTTATAAAAAATACAAAAAATAAGAATAAGTTATTTACAAACACGATTGTAGCGTATTACAATGTAAATGATACCTGTTTTACGGGTTTTTGCCCGTGGTCTGTGTGTACTTTTATCCAAGTGACACATGGTCTATGTGTAAGATTCAAATGTATACCTCGGTCTGTGGCAATGATCGCGGCGTCGCATATATGCGACGCTCAGTAGCGAACGTGTTAACTAGCTAAATACTATACTGGTTGTTTCCAACTAGCTGTATAGCATCACATACCTTGCCGTGAGCGAGCTGCATGAGTTGACGGGTCATGTAGCCAAAGCATGCTGGAGACAGCTTGTAGCCTCCTAGTGGTGAAGGGTGGCCAGTTGCTGCATCAAACCCAGCTGACACCATCACCAGCTCAGGGTTGAACTCCTGTCAAACATCACGTACTGTGAAAAACTTCTACAACATCTAACAATATCATTCAGCTTCATATACAGTTTACATATAGTTCATACATAGGATATAGATCAGTTCACATACAGTTTGGTATAGTTCACTTCATACTTCATATATAGTTTGGTTCAAAGTCAAGCTAATTTAACCATTCTTCTAGCACTTGTAAGCTAAGGTTGTACAAAAAAAAATCCTACTTGTAAGTTTCTGAAATACGATAACCCTCGGTCATAACATTTCATTAGGTTCATTACATTTTGTGGTAGAGACACACATAGCCACAACCAAAAATTTTACTTTTGTGTTTAAAACCTGACTACGGTTACATAAATAAGCTGATTAGAAAATGTAGTATAGAGGGTATGATCTCCCTTTTTTGTTGGAAATTATGTCGGTAACAGTAAAATATTCAATTTTCTGTGTATTATAAGGTTTTTTGTGTTTATTGTGCCAGAGGAGACTTTCTACTTTAAGGTAAGCCTGCTATCCTATCACAAAATCCATAGGCTTCTGTGTTTTGAGTTTCTTCCTTAAAATCTGAATAGTACATGTAATACTTTTTCTGACTAAATAGGACAAAAAAGTAAACAATTCTAAAACCAAATTCAAGTGTTAACTACTTTCCTAAACATTGTTCACAACCAATTCATTACTATACTGACAATGTGCCAGCAATGGTAGCAGGGATACAACGTTTTCTAAACTGACACCAAATGAACAGCATTGTACAGTACCTTGGCTATAGGCATGACCACAGTGCGGAAGGCAGCCAGGTACTCGGCGTCTCCTAGGGGAGGGTTTAGACCTCCAGACCAGGCTATGTTCACATTGAAGCCAACACCTGCTCCTGTGCCACACTGTACAAGGAAACAATAAACTAATGTAAGTGTCTCGTCAAATAACTATTATTTTATGTTTGATTCCTGCGTGATCAAATCTGAAAAAAAAATTGCCTATGATACTATTACTAGCTCTGTTCCATACATTTTCCAAGAAAGTGTAACAGTCGTTATTCTCTTTCATAGAAAATGCAGTACACATTGAATTTAGGTAGTAACAATAGGTGTGTAGACTGCAATATATAAAATGAAAAAGAGTAAGAAAAATGTTCAACGGACTACAAAATTGATAACTGTACAATTTAAAAGTGTGGTTGATGTAGAAATGTGTTAAATTAAAATATTATTTTTTTCTCTAACTATATTGCTTTTAATTTTATATTCAATACAAATTCAATCCCTACAAAAATTTATAAAGTATATTTTTTTATTTTAAAGAGCTGGAATAGTGTTAACGATCTAAGTAAACATTGGCTGACTTAACTTTTGCTACTTTGTACTTTGTATTTGCTACTTTTGTGATAGGAGTAGTAATTGACTTAAATGTTGGCTATACAGAAAAGTAGATTAACAAAATAATATACAATAATCAAGTTTTATTGCCTTTATTTGTACATACAAAGGAATAGACTTAGTCAACAGATTTGTCAAATGTATTTACAAAACGTGTAAGTAAATGGCAAAGAAAAGAGTGATTTGTTTTAGCAAGTCTATGATAATATGTTACCTCTGTAGGTCCCCCAGTTCCAGGGAAGAAGTTGCCGTCGTCGTGCCTGTGTAGAGACAGGTAGAGGACTCTAGGGTCGTCGTAGAACACCTGCTGGGTCCCATTACCATGGTGAACGTCCTGTTGCAAAATGTCAAATTGTCAACCACTTTTACAACATATGTTTTGTAAATAATCAATGTCATACTACTAGGGATGTATGTGTACTAGGGATTGACAAGTCTCGAAGTTTCGGGAAATTTTAAATCTCGTTCTACGAGACAAGATTTTTTGAGAAGAGATTAAAAAAAAAATACGCCTGCAGGAAGTCAAAACTAATCAGCTCATAGAAGACTATTGACTAACATGTTCTAAGCATCTATCCCACCAGTAAACATTAAAAGATCTTGTCCTGCTTCATTACTATGAATAACCCTTTTTTTAAATCTAAGTACCGTAACGTCATGATCATACCCAGTCTACGATGAGTATCCTTCTCACGTCCAGGCGCTGTTGGACAAGTCTAGTCGCAATAGCGATGGAGTTGAAGAAGCAGAAGCCCATTGGCTGTGATGCCTCCGCATGATGTCCCGGTGGTCTCACCACAGCCATTCCGTTCTTCATCTCACCAGTGGCAGCTGCAGAACATTCAATTCATCATTGTCAACTAAACTTTTCATATACACTATTTTCCGCAGTTATTTCAGACCCTATGGTTGAATTGTCGTTTTATCTGGATATGGAGGATTATTATTGGAATGTGGGCAATGTCTGTTTCAGAGATGCCATATTCTTTCATCTTACTAAAATGTTATCATATTTTAGGATTAACATTTTTATATGTTAATTTTAAATACATCCATAACAAATAAAACCAAAATTTGGGCTATTCCTGAAAAACGTGCAACAAGATCTTCATGTAATATAAAAAGACTCACTTTTAAACGCCAGCTCGATGACACAGCCAGCAGCCATGCGAGCGGCAGGTCCAGTGTGAAGCTCATTCCACGTAGTGTCGGAGTCAACCCCCACCCCTCCACATGGCAGACGCACAAAGCTCTTGATGGGCAACATGGACAACTTGCTCATGTCAAGCTTCTGTCTGTTCAGAGGGTTTGTACCTGCATCAACATGCTGGTTACAAACACAATAGTTGCATTTTTATTTGCATACCCACATAACCCTACAGGTAAATATACAGATCCACAATTAAATGGGACATAGCGTGCAAGAAATGTTTTCAGCCTAAGAGACTACAGACAATTTACTTTACAACGGAACATATCTGAATGCAGTAAAGAGAAATGCTCTTGGAATTAAAAAAATACAGACATCAGTTTTAAAGTGAGTTTCCTTGTTGCCCAATTTGGCTGCTGAATAAAGCTACAGAATACAGCTGCAGAATTTTTAATGTCGAGCTAGTCTTTTTCTTTTTTGACAAGGGTATTTTTCTAGAATTACAATAATAATAATAGTCAACTGCTAAGTGCCCCAGGTTTTAGTAGTCTAGTGTCCACAATATGTCCCTTTTTAAGGCATTGTTAAAACGCTTAGTCACTGTCATAACTGCAAACCGTCCCAATTCAGCACTGCACTATGGACTACCTAAAACAGTCCAGGAGCACGTTTACAAGTCGCTTTCGAGTGCGAAACTGGCTGCTCTTAGAGTAGTGGCCTATCTCATAGCTCACCACTGGATAAAGTTCCTCCAGAATCCAGTAGCTAACGTCTGTACCTGACCCTTATATGTTAAGTTGGAGTAAAAAAATTTAGCAACTGGGAAATATCGCCTTTAGGAAGAGCTCATTGACAGGATGCTGCTGTTCATCAAGCGAGTTCGACAGGCTCTGAAGCAAAAAGTCCACAAGTGGCTAATGTATACTTACCAAATAGGAGTGTGTGTGCCTCACTGTGGCACAGCTGTAGCTCCTCCAATGTAGCCTTGCGACTGCGTACTCTGTCACACCTAGCGACCAGACCAGTCTCTCCCAGCCTGGCCCACACACTCTGCAGACGTCCGCCGTGCTCCAGGTGTAGACTGTTGTCTCCACAAACACAAGCGTGCTTCAACATCAGTCCATCGTAGGCCAGACCTGTCGTCACCACCGAGGGACTACTGTAACAATCACACCAGAGTAAGCTACTACTGTGATTAGAAGGTTGCCGGTCCTATCCTGAAAATAATCAGAACTTAAGAAATTAGACCTAACAGCCTTTTGATCATTGAGTTTTTTACGAATGGTCCTGACTAAAGAACCACTTGATCTCCAGTTAGTACCAAAGCGGTCATCACATCCATTCACCACTCATCGTTTGCCTTAAAATACACACCCCGGTGTGTCTGTCTCATAAAAATCCAATCTAATTTACAACTCAACCCCTTACTCACAAACAAACAGGTACACGAATATACTTGAGAAATCATGTTTTGTATTTGCTGCTATTATTGATTACCAAATCTGCAAAAGATGGAATGGGAATTTATAAAAGTTGACACAGTAAAACGTCGATCAACCGAAATGAGGGGAAAAGGCAATTTTTATAACATACTTCTATCGGTTAGTCAGTGGTTGGATGTTATGGCTATTTTGGGCCAAAGAGGTTTACAATGATTATTTTTACGTTATTTTGATAACTGTAATCTTAAATTCTACAAATGTATACTCAAAATCTAATGAAAGTACTCAACAGTTGTTTTCGGGACTTTATAACGGTATATACTAATATACTATATCCATGTCACCGTCTGCTCCATTGCATTATGTTGGCCAACTAGGCCAACCCATGCCAGGGACACAATTTGAATATTTTATTATGGTTTCGGTTTCAAAGGTTTTAGTGTATTTTTTCATCAAATAACTGACAGGAAAGCTGCTATACCTTTGACAAAGTCCAGGTAAGGCCATAATACAAAGACAAAGAAAACACAATATTTCCATTTCCTCCTCAGGGAAGTATTGCCTCATAACCCAGGAGAAAAAATATTGTATGTTCTGTGTCTTTTTTGTCTACTACAACTTACAGTAGACTATATGGTCTACCTGGACTTTTTTTCAGCATACTCTGTTGGAGGCTTCAAATTTGTTATTCTACAATCATCTATTCTACAGCTTGTATAAAGAAATAGAAAATCCTTTGGTTTTTTGCCCAATTTATTTTACATAAATTGAAATTACGTAACCTAGTTGTTAGTTGGTTAGAATTTATCAGTGGTAATATTTTGAGACAATAGCAGTACTGTCTGTGATTTAGAGTGCCAATTTTATTGGTTATAAGTTGTACCTGCATTGTACTATGGCAACTATGGTCTACCTGGACTTTTTTTCAGCATACTCAGTTGGAGGCTTCAAATTTGTTATTCTACAATCATCTATTCTACAGCTTGTACAAGGAAATAGATAATCCTTTGGTTTTTTGCACAATTTATTTTACATTAAATTGAAATTACGTAACCTAGTTGTTAGTTGGTTAGAATTTATCAGTGCTAATATTTTGAGACAATAAAAGTACTGTCTGTGATTTAGAGTGCCAATTTTATTGGTTATAAGTTGTACCTGCATTTACTTCCACTGCCTCGACAAAATAGTCCTTCATCATTGAAATGTCCTCTTTGCTTTCATCAGTTAAAATGAATTTAATACTGACACAAGGGAATCCTTCTCTTCCAGTCCTTATCGCTATTTATCTTTATAAGTAATTGATTGAGTTTAAGATGCTGTTTCCAGAGCTTATGAGTTTTTTGTTTTCTTGTATGTAAGTATTTTATAAGCACAAATGCATCGCCAACGTGTTAAAATTTTGATTTGTTTACAATCTATAATAATTAGTGATGTGTCGATACTAAAACTTATCGATCCTCGATACCAATACCATTTCTTTTTTTAGTTTTACTAAATTTTCTGAATGGATTGGTTATGCAACACCAACATCTGTCTTTATATCCTTCCATAAAGTATTTTTGAGGTGATCTGGTGATTTTCAAGTAAAGAAAGAATGAATGCAGCAAAGAACAATTCTAAAGAGCCAATTTAAGATTAAACTCTTCTAAACACTTTAAATAACTGTTATATCAAAGGTAAATGAAGATCTAACAACGAAAAATCAAAAAGAATATGTTACCATAGCTAGAGGTGTGCCAGTATGATATTTTCAGTAAAATCAAACTCAAGGTAACATCGTGAGTCATCATAGTCGTCTTCTACGATCACAAAACATGCCCGTCTCCCGTAGCAGACATTATCATCGATTCCTGCGGTCACAGAAATGTCATCATCATCTTCTGCAATCGCAGTAAATTTCCGATCATACGATCTTCGCAGATTTTTCGGGTATTGGTATCGGAATAGACTGTTGGCGATCGATTCTCAAAACTGATACCTATGTCCAAGTATCAATGGTATTGAGAATCAACACATCCATACTATTAATAATACTTGTTAGCCTGATGTCTTTGAAATAACTATCTTTTTTGGTTAGTTTTTATAAATTAGGTATTGAAACTAAAATCTACCCTAGTAGAGCTCCTAAGCTAGAATTCACACTCTCCACCCTCTCTTCGCTATCCTTCAACAGTAGACAAAACAGTTACAAATATGCAACATCAGCATTTGTTACGATTTTTTAATAATTAGAAACTAAAAATGTTTTTTTTTTTTGGAGGGTTTCAAAATGACATTTGAGTGTCAAAATTTAATCCTTGAAATATTTGGTAGATCCCATTCCTCTGCATTAATATGTCAACTGCGGATTTATTCACTTGTTTTGTTAAGACAATGTTAGTTCTTTGACTACTAAGAAAATAAATTAATACAAACAATATCACTGTTTTGTATTGAACAACTAGCCTACATGTTTTATGTAGCAAGTTAATGATGATATTTAAATATATCAATATTTTTAACTTATGACAGGTAGGCCAATGTAAAATCAATTTGTATGAATTTCATTTCATAAAACTAGACAATCTTTTGTAATAATAAACTTCACCTTAATTTACGTCTTTTATGGTAACAATTTGTGCTTTGTATCACTTAAGGCTAGTTCACACATGGCGATTTTACTCGCTGCAACTAGTCGCGTCTACTAATCTCTATGTGAGAACAAAAAGTAGCGGCAACTAGCAATCACCGGAGCGTAAAATTTCACTCGCGCAGTAAGTCGGACATGTTCAACTATTGTGGTGAGTAGCCAACCTTAAGAGTCACATGAGTCATGCAGAAATTGTATTATGAGGCACTCTAATAGGTATTGTAGTGATTTTAGGGAGTCTCCATTCGCCATATAGCCTACTTAACTTTCCAGTTTGGTTTTAATTGGAATCACTAGCTGATCATCATTTCTAATAACTCCTCAAACTTTAGAAATGTTAAGCTCATCATGTTTTCCTCCATCCGATCCCGAACCCTCTCAGAGTTTTTATTCCTTACTTCATCTCCTAATTTCTCGCAAAGTAGTACCTAGACATACACAAGCCACACATCTCAAAGTCTTATTCCCACATACGGCATTTTTTACAGCAGAAAATATAGTAACACACAAACGAATCGCCAAACCCTACAACCTCCTAGCCGCTACAACTCGCCATGTGTGAACTCAGATAATATTTTGCTGGTGAGTAGTATCTGTGACTATTGTGTGAACTAGCCTTAAGATTCAACGTTTCCATAAATTTCACTTAAGCAGGAAACCCACTAGTCCGACGCTCTCCGACACCGTCACCTTCCGTCAAGTCTCCGACACCTTCCGACGCCTTCCGCAATTTTAAGGCATTAACCCATTGGTCCGACGGGCTCCGACAGTAGGCCCCCGACGAGAAATACACCACTACTCTAACAGTGCCAGTTGCGATGGAACATGTGATCACATACTGTTTCACAAGCAGTAGTTAGGGAGCAAATAATGAAAAAAGTCCATAACATTTATGACGGTCTCTGTTAGTATGAGAGATTACAATGGTCAAGGACCTTCCTAGACCCACCTTGATAATTTCGGTAACATTTACTTAACTGTACTACAGGGAAATTAGCAAAAAGTACAGTACAAAACGTAAACAATAATACCACCGTCGCAGCAAAAATGCCGACTAAGCAAATTTCTATTTACCTGAATTGATTTTCAATTAGCTTAAGTGTATTTAATTTAGGTTTTATGAGTACCTAGGATCGCTACAGGGAGGGTAAAAAAGTGTGGTTTTTAGTAAAGTTTCAATAACTTAGTATAAAATAAAGAAATTTACCAAGTGTGATCAAAATATATCCATCGGAAAGCAAACTTACAATATTTTATAATATTCTCCATAAGAATAACAATAAGAAATAATAAAAATTCTTTGAATTTTCTCCGTAACCAATAATTGTACAAAAACATCACATTCTTGTGATCACATGTTCCATATCCGTTCCACATATTGTGATCACACACAAAGCTAGACAGTCTAGGCCTGGTGCACGTAGAGTGGAGAAATGACGGATCCGACATCCGACAAGAATGCCCCAGAGAGCAATGTTGTCGTGACGTGACGTGTCAGAAGGTGTCGTGTCTGACTAGTGGGTTACAGTCCATTTAAAATAATGCAAAGTAATTTTGTCGGAAGGTGTCGGAGCCTTGACGGAAGGTGACGTGTCGGAGAGTGTCGGACCAGTGGGTTTCCTGCTTTAAGTATATAATTGTTTCACAGGAATACATCAAGGAGGTATAGAAACACATTGATACATAGGTAACGGAATGATAGGTATTTATTAACACATTTTATGTACATTGTCTCGCGAGTATTTACAGGTTACCACGCCGGTAGCATTACTTTGTAGGGCGTGTATAGATGCATACTACGTCCCAATCCACAATGATATTTGTATTTGTGGCTCCTTACAACTAGATACGATCTGGAAAAACATCGATTGTCATTGAAAAATATGGAATTTATTAAGAGAAAGTGTTTGGTGCAAAAAAACCGTCACTCAAGTGCCAGTGTTAAATTTTTCATCCCGCACGCAAGCTCTAAGTAATAACCACTGTTCTCTCATCTGAAATATAATCGTATTTTAGATTATTGTTACGCCAATTCTCTTTTTAAAAGCAGCCTACACCTTTATTAGTTCATATTAAAACTATTTGATTTATATATTGACTATATGATGGGACAATCCAAATAATTTTCAAGTAAATACAAAATAGGTCAAGTTTTGGTAAATAAGCTGCACAAGGCATTTCACCCATTCACACTCATCTTTCATTTGTACTTAGTTGTGCCGTTGGTTCAACACAGTGTCATAATGATAGGCTAGTAGTTAGTACCTCTGTGAAGGGTTGGATGAGGGAACGTTCTCCGGACTGAGCGCCACCAGAGGACTAGAGAGCGCTCGACTCAGCGGCCTTACAACATGAGACGCTCGGGGAGTAAAGGCAGAACCTGGAACAACAAACAGTGGTTGAGAGTTCAAAAAATCTTAATTAGAGAAACAGGACTTTTGTTTGATAGAGTCCACTCTGGCAACTGGTGTTTATGGATACTATAGTATAGATTAAGAGTATTTTATGTTTTTTTGTTCCTACGTGTTTCTCATTCAGGTAATCCTGCTATCCTAACAAAAATCCTTTCTAAATCCTAAGTTCTTCCTTCCTAAATGTTTTAAATGCCTGCAATATTACCAGATCAGCCGGGAATACTCAGTTGGAGGGGAATTGATATTCTAGCTTTGAGAACCATATTAACAATATACACTGTGCACATTTTAGAGGTAGGAAATTATCATCAAGTACCCCCTCCCCCCTTATCACCTACCAACCTTATCAGATACCCTGGCCTCATAACACTAACTGATCTTACGTTCTTAAGCTAAGCTAGTGTTAAAATTCATCAATGTTTTCATCATCACCTGTGTCGGTGTCAGGTGTAATTTGAAACAAAACACTAATTGATGCTGTTAATTATTGGTATCCTCAATGGCTAGAATAAACCTCAGTAAACCAAAATTGCTACTTTACGGCAAGGGAGAAATGTTTGGCTCCAACTACAGTTTTGGTGACTCACCTTCGCTGACTTGTAACGTGTGCCTCATCATCAAGTCCCTCTGTTGTTGCAGAAAACTCTCCCTCTCTCTCTGCTGGCGACAGATCTCACTCTCTCCCTCCATATCTGCCTTCTTGTCTTTCTCCGTCAGGTCTATAACCTGTAAACAATTCTAATTAATACAGTCATATCATTCATTTAACTGCTAATGAATTAGTCTCTGGGTGAGTGATTATAGTGCTTGCCTTTGAAACTGAAGGTTCAATCCTCGCCTGGATCAATTCTGAACTCAGATATGCCATTCGTCATTGGACGATTAATAAACAATGCTATTTAACAAAAGGTCCAATGTTTGCACCGTTTCCTTTGATCTACTTAAGACTTGTTCCTTGAACTGTGACATTTTTAATATCACATCAACTGTCTCAGGCTGATGCCACATGGGCGTTTTTTTCACGCACAAATTAAACACGCGAAAAATTAGAATAGCATTGAAACGAATAGGCACCCACTACTGCGGGAAAACACACTGCAAGTGGCATTCCCATTACATTTAATGCTGCTCATAGTTTTCACGTGTTTTCATGCTGATTTTGTGCATGAAAAAACAACTGTGTGGCCGCAGTCTCAGTACATAACAAAAACTGAGGGAGAAAATATAGTTTTGGACTGTAGTGCACTGTTAGTGGTTCATTCAACTATGTTTTTTAGGCTACAGTTGGTCCATATAAATGGGATGTTTATTTTAGTAGCCATAAGTGAATGCTATAAGTTCCTTTCTCAGGCAATCTAGCTGAGCTCAATTCCTTTATACTTGATATTATTCCAACTACCTCAGTGAGATCCTCTCCCTCTGGAGCCTCGTCCAGCTGACTGCCACTGAGAGACTGAGCTCTGCTGCCTGCTCTCGTCAGAACTGTCTGTCTGATTTGCTGCAACAAAACACCCCTCATCCATAACCCTTTGTAATGCAAATTCAATTTGACACAATCATAACCGATCGTAATTAAATACTAATATGTAAAAACATGGACTTGAAAGGCAAACATAGCCCTAATCCAACTCTGAACCCCTGTCTAACTTTTAGTATTTATTTGTAATTATTAAACAAAATGAGTAAAAACTTACCAGTAAAACAAAGAGCTGAGGAGTTTTGAAACAAAAACAAAAAATACAATTTAGAAAATTTTACTTAACACCGAAGTTGAATAATTGAAGACAAAAATATACAACTTAAAGTTTAGCATTTAATCAAAATATTACACTAGCTTGTAGTTTGTTTAAGGTGTAACGAAAAAAATTAAATCCTTCGCAGACTTTAGATTTTAGATGGGCCAACATTTGTAAAAAATCCTCGAAACTAAATAATAAGAGTGGATGATTGAAAAACATCACAATTATTATAGTGGCTATCACATTTTTAGCACCAAACTAGTCTTTTATATCTTCAACTATTGACAAAAGTAGGCATTCAAATTCACTGATTAAAGTTGTAGCCAGTCATAGAATATAAATTAGATACTTAAATTAATTGAGCCACTGGCAGATTGTGCTGGTCTCAATTACTTATTTCTGTCTAATATGACAACTTTGTATAATCAAAACAAACTGAGAGGACAACTTATTGTGAACTACAGCAGCTCAGTATTGAATACTGAGGAAGATAAGGAACATGGTCTACCTGTCGGAGCAGGTTGTGAGTGGTGATCTGATGGTGTGAAGGCGCCGGGTCCATGACTAGTCCAGCAGTCAACATGGGATGTCCCAAGGGCAGTGGCGCACTCTGTGTCCGTCCTAGGGGTCGGTGACCTTGCTTGTTGAGCCTAGCATGTGCCACCTGTGTGTCTGTAATACCCGCGGAAGGATACAGAGAGTGAACACCCACACGAGACTGCTCCAATGACGCCATCTGCTTGTGTGTGTACGCTGCACTTCCGTACTCCGCTTCTATTACTGAAACAACACAAGCCTGATTGTATTTCGCCACTGCAGTGTGTTGCTTTCACCAACAAATAAATGTTACCTGAGTGGGGAAGAGTCCACTCAAGCACAAGAAACAAAATACTTGACAACTTAATTCAAACTAACAACTAACTCTGACTAATAACTACCTAGGCTGGCCCTTGAGCTCTGTGACTGTGTCATAGTTAGTTTGCTACAAGTGTTCTTATAATAACAGCAGGAAGTAGCCTTTTAATTTGCAATTCAAAATTAGGAAATAAAGTAAAAAATAAACTTTTTCCATCACAGCACATTAGTTTTACTCTAGTTTAAAGTAACGATGTATATTTTATTCTACACTCATTTGGTGAAGTTCTAAATGCATCAAGGAATATAGCAAGAAAAATCTCAATTTTAAAACCTATATGTAACCTAGAGAAAAATGTTGACAGTAATTGGTTTAGAAAAAAAAAATCCCAGTACAACACTAAATGATTTCCCAGCAAAACATTGACATACCGTATTAACAAGTCTAACATACACTGACACTGATTGTTATACCTGGGAGGGTGGGGTAGAAGGGTAGGGTGCCGGACAACATTTGCCCAGTGAGAGGCATTCCCAGTCTAGCAGCAAACGCAGCTCTGACCTCTGCCTCCGACACTGGCGCCAGCTTGTTCTCCTGTAAATATATCATACCTTGTAAAGCTTTATTGGAGACTATGAAAATCCAGCAAATAGTTATAAAGTATAATAACTTAAGTAACTGACAGCAACCACAGAGAATTGAAAAGGTAAGACAGGAGACGTTCTTGAGCTGGTGGTGAGTTTGAGACATCACAGCACATAACATAAATGTATTAACTTTTAGATACTGAAGTAGACATCACATCTATATAGACTATCTATAAGCAAAATGTTACTAAAAAAAATAACATAGGCTAGTTGGATTGAGGCACTCGTAGAGTGTGCTAGTCTAAAACCCAATGGTCACAATTAGATGTTACTACTGTGATAGCTGATGTCAGGAAAGATACTATAACAACTTTCAATAACATGTCCTTTCAGTTTAGTTTGGTACAAAAGTGGCGTAGGCAATCGATGATTTACATCAACTTACTCAATCAGCAGCTGACCACAACTGAGGGATGTCTATACTCACATTAGGGGTAGAGGTGGGTGGTCGGCCAAGTGAGATGTTGGGCATGGAGGGGGAAGTGTAGAGGCCGGAGATGTCGTTCATGCTGCCAGGACTAGTGGACAGTTGACCATACTGGGTCTCTCCCTCCTGTGTATCAGCCACATACGTTACATAGCAAAGAGCTACTGAAGGTTTGCAAGAACTAAATAACTTAATCCTATGTTTTAAACGCAAAATGTGCAAGTAATCAGATGTGCTATTTATCACTTTGTGTATTAAAGACCTTCGATCTATATTGTGTAAAAATTGCTAAGCTGTCAAATGGTTCCATCAATGTTGTGTAAAAAAACATTAAGAATTTTGTAAAATCATAACATACTGAAATGAAATCACTCTGTTCAAAACTGTAACTTGTAGTCCATGTTGTATATTTCAGTATGATTCGCTTCACTGAAAAAAAATTAATCTGTCACCGTTTGTATGTTTATTTTATTTATTTTTTGTTTTTTTGATGTATTTATATTTTTGCATTCTTAGCAGTTATAAATCTATATTTAGTCATCATTCCAATAATGTTTGACAACATAATCCTCAACCATAGGAAGAAGAAACTTTAAATAATAAATTATGGAGAGCTATGTACTAAACATTTCAAAAAAATATGAATCTTGAAAAAAGAGAACATACAAGAAAATATTGAGAATGAAAGAATAACTATGAATAAATTAAAATCAGAATCAACAATGAATAGACTCGGTGGTAAAATTATCCAATTAAATTTAGCCCAACCTAAGGTTTTCTTGCGCACAAGGAGATATTTATAGTTATAACCTTGGATGCCTAATTAACCTGGATGTTTAATTAAAATATAATTTTATATTTATTGATTTGGGGATATGACAGTACTTGACGGTGGTGAGGGGAGAGTTGATGAGTCTCACCTCTTGTATGGGAGTGTTGTGACCAGCAGAGGGTGACATCTGAGACACAGGGGGAGAGTTTGGTCCCGAGTCAGGGTTGCTGCTGGTCGACTCTGCAAACATAGTGGGTTGACCTTATAGTTTGCTTAGAATAAATTTTGATCTGCTATATTATATTATATTAAATATGATCTGATAAATTTTAAACCTGAATATTTCTTCCAACTAAAACATGTTTATAATATAAAATGGAAAACAAATAATATTTTTTTCACAGTAGAATTATCAATGTACAACATATAATGAATACACATCTGATGACACAATTATCAACAAAATTATCCAACATTTTACAATCAACAAAATTATTTGAAGCCTGAATTTTCATTCTAAATTTTGGCACCATCTCTTGTTTTACAAAATTCAAAACATTTCAGGTACAGATCATACTGGAATTAATTGTAAACAAACATACATTGCTACGATGTTGTAGCAACTTCCTCCCGCTTTATTTGTTCTAACTAAAGAAGACTATAAATTAATTAAATCTATATATTTAATCTAGATAACATTTCTACTCTATTTCAAATTTACTAAACCTCCCATATAACAAATAACATTAATATTTTAGTACGAGGAATCCAATATGTGGCCACGAGTATGGCAATCATCATATGTAACCAAAAGGAAAAAAAATTCCCTAAGCACAGTTAAAAACCTTGGAATGAAAAAACCCAACTAAAACCCCAGAGATTCTCTGGAATTGCCGAAGGTTGGGAATCCAAATATGTAAAACACAGCACAAATGAAAGCTAGTTAGTAGGGTGCATGCAGGCGAGCGTACTTGCAAGATGAGCCCGGCGCTTGATAGGTCGATCCTTAGGACGGGCGATGGGGCTCGCGCGGCGCTCAATCACTCGTTGCTTCAGCCGCACTTTCAGTAGGTTGGGCTCGGAGGCTGTAAGAGGGGGAGGGGGAGTGTTAGAGTTAGCACGACATTCAACAAACAGCACACAACAAACACTACTGACTACGCAATCTCACTAGGGCCAAACTGTATGGATAGTTCATCTCCCATGAAGAAAACTACAAAAGCTACAGATAAAGATTTCCTGGGCACTTAACTGAAACATTTGTTATTGTTTTTTGTTACATTTACTCCCCAAAAAGCAATTTCATTTAAAAAAATAAGTTGTTTACAAATAGTGTTTAATTTACTATTGCCTTATTTCAAATGAACGAGAAATATAAAACATAGAAAATTGAAAGTTTACCAAAGAAACAACAAAGAATAATGTATTGAAATCTTCAATTGATGTTATTGAAACATTCAACAAACTGTTTGCTCTTTCATCATTGTTCTTGTTCAGAAACAATTAATTTTTTTAAAGTGTAGTCTAACTTTTTTGGTTTGACTTGGACAAATAAGGAATATGAAAATATTGTTCAGTAAATTATTGTAGGGATAAAAGCAACTTTCAAAATTATTAGTAAAAATACCATTCAAACATGCATTTCTTTAGATTGTACTCCTGAAATCACCAAATTTAAATCTGCACTTTGATAGCTAAATTATATTAAGGAATACAAAATTCTTACAAATTAGAGAGGAGCTTTTCACTTTTTTTGTGAGTGGCAAACAGCTATATCCAGTAGCTTAATAAAATTATTGCCTGATCTCAAAATAGATTTACTAATTTTGTTTTTATTGTTGACTAATCTTATTTTATTTGATTAATCTTATCAGTTACTTTGTATTTCTTTACTTGGGACAGACAGAATTGGTTTGAATCTATTTCTTATTGTATCACTCCTTGATTTTGTTTAATAATAAAAGTTGAACTAGAAATAACATTTTGTAATTACCTTCGCATTATTTTGGCTAAGAATTAACCCCAAATACTTCTCAAACAAAGAAATATTTTATGTCAAAATTTTCCAAAAGGTGCTTCCAAAAAATTGTCCATTGTGTTTGCAGTTTAAATTAGTAAAACTCTCAGCGTGTTAAGGTAAAAAGTGATGTTAACAAACAGCAAAAATATTGATCAACTCACTACCACACATTGACTACAGTCTCTGTTGGTTTGGCGACATACCTGTCTTTCTGAGTGGGAAGTCTTCATCGTACTTGCCCAGTAGACGATACGGCGAGGTAGTGCTGTTGGTAGCATTGGGCTCACCAGGTGTACCTTGTAATACCGACCTGAAGACATATCCTAATTTTAACATTGACTATTCAAGTAATCAGTAACAATTACCAAGAAAACAGACACTGGTTATCGTCATAAAATGAAAGGGCCTATAAAGAAATAGAACCAGTAACATGTGCAATAAGAAAGGAAAGAATCTCATTCTTTGGACATTAATTGCAGTCTCTAATATTCAGAATGAGCAGAGATTGTAGGAAAACTAATGAATAAAAACCAACATCAAGGGGGTTTCGGAAGTTAAATAAGATAATATCACATTCCCTGTTCTATGTTTACTTACTTTAAGTTGTAGTGCAGTTTGTAAGTATTTTAGCCCTTTAAGTTTTTTTCATTCTCATCTATTAATCCTTCATCAAGATTTTTTGGTCTATCACTACAACTTAAAGTAAGTGAACATAGAACAGGAAATGTGATTTCAGAAGAAAGAAAAATACGGATGAGAAAGTATAGGCCTACTGTAAAAGAAACAGAAAACAAGATAAAAAGAGTATCTCTTCTCACTGAAATGAATTGAGTAGGCTAGTCCAATGTTTGCCATTACATGAAAATAAATAAAGGAGTAATAACGTTAGAGCAAATTTGGGACATCAGTGCCCAAGGAGCGTTCCACATATACTGTAAGAGATTCATTTGAAACATTTTTATGTTAAATGTACCTAGAAATTGGCTGCATAAGATTCTCCTGTGCTTAAAAATTCCCGTAATTATTGTTGAATAAGGTGCCTAAATGGTAGGTGACCTTCATGACAAATGTTATAAAAATAAGAAATTTTTTTCATAAAAATTGTTTTGCAAGGATAGTGAATTCATGACAACCACCTGGATTGCCGCAGACTTTTATTTGTGGCTTTTTATGCCGTAAGAAACAATGTCTCAATTAATGTAATCAATAACATGCTAATTTATTTGTAATAAACATTTTCTAGTAAATAAAGAGTTCTGAGTGAGTTCTAAAAATACAATAGCAAAACGATTCATTGTTAACTATTTTACTGTAGTTGGTGAACAAATAATTAAATAGAATCAAAGTTTAAGCCCAAGTTGTGTGATCAAATGCATGTACTGTATCTTCTTCCACTCACACTTAAAAATTACTTTTTTTTAAGATTACTATCTTTGAGTGGTCTTACAGTAGTATAAATATTAGCTTCCACTATCTTTATTGTACAACTGGTGTAAATATTCACAATTGTTTTGCATGGCCAGGATTGATTTTTCAAAACCAGAAGACAGCCTTGTCATAGAAGTGTATTTCACGACATCAACCACACAACTGACATAGTAAACCTTTATAGTTCCGCACAACAGTGTCGTACGTTGTTCATGAGATAGTAATTCAGTGTCATACCAGTTGCGGTAGGCTTGGCCGGAGGTAGGAATCGCTCCATTGGCTGCAGCAGCTTCCCGGTGTTTTTTGTTCAAAAGAAATCCCTGAAACATTTATTCCAGATTAACTTTCTAAACTGACTTGACCTTATATCCTTTAAGTACAGTAAAACCTCAATAACCTGACAATTTGTGGACCCAAAGGTTTTTGAGTTATCCCGAACATTGGAATTTTTAATAGGTGTAATAAATTAACACATAACAGACAAATTTTTACATATAAATGTATTACTTACATGAATATTTTTACATAGAAATGTTGAATATTAAACATTCAAAACAAAATGTTCTGACAAAATTGTGTTTTTTTGTGGTGTCAGCGGTTAACTGTTGAGTTACCGAGTGTGTTCTTAGTAAGGTTTTACTATAACACCTTTCCAAGTGATTTAATATTTTCTATATTCGCAAATATTGAGACTGTGTACATGAACTTAAGTGCAAATGTACAAGTCATTATAAATATTTGAAAAGGGTACCTAGTATGGTTTTTCTTCTTTATTAATATTTCAATTAAAGTAAACTTTTAGAATTTTAACTTTCCTTTAATTTTAAATAAACTAACGCAGATGGGCATTTTCAATGTGTAAAATCATACTGCAATGTACGGAGAAAGTTTCACAACCCAAATCAAGAAATTATATCAATATACACTAAATTACCATACAAATATTTTTGTTACATAGAAGACCCCAATAAATAAAGACGGGAGAAACAAATTTAAAGACATAAAATAAAGTTGATACTTTTATTTTACTATGATTGTTTATGATTTTAAAATAATATTGACAAGATTGTAAATTAAATAAAGTAAAAAAAAAAGATTTTGTAAATGCAAAAATTTGTAATTAACAGTAAAAAACTACATGTTTTCATGACTATAAGTACATGAGGTTGATTAGTTACTCCATGACATCAATGTTTAATGTTAAATAAATTACCCGTAGTGTTTACACAGGTGCTACTTACATCACAAGTTAACACATGTTGCTATAGCTATGCAACTGTGGATCTGCGAATATTAACTCCACTTTTCCTTATTGAAAACCTATTCTTACCCCAATATGTTAGGGGTTTGTTTTTTTTGTTTTTTTATTTTGGACACTTTTATACTGATTTAATTATTTTAGTGGCTTTTATACTACTGTACAAAAATAATGCTTCTTAATGCAAAAGTTTCACAATAATCAAACCACAAACCGCTTTTTAAGTTTTACATATCTTCATTAACTTCAGCATTTAACATTTTTAATCATTTAATATTCTATCTAAGGCTAGCTTTTCATCCATTTTTTTTCGACGAGCAGAGATTTTTTTTTTTTCGCAGTATAAAATACAGCATCAATGATCAACAAGCTCACATTTTGTCAAATATTTGACTATTTAGTCTATGATTGAAGTAACAGTAGTAATAAATCATCGTTTTATGAAAATCTCTTTGGTTCGATTCAATAGCTGTGAAGCAAGAACAATGTTGTTAACTTTACAGAAATGTAAAAAATAACAATACAATGAAACATCAATTTTTTTTTATTTTTATATTCCTACAAGAATAGTACTGAATCATGTAAATGTTTCGGAACATAATTACTTTAGACACATAAATTATATATCACGTCTAAATACTATTAAATAACATTAAGTGCAGTCGGTAAGCTAAAAATAGCAACGCTAAAGTTTACATATATTGGACCAGATTCGGCGCATAAAATTATTAGGCTAATAAAAAAATTATTTTATGAAACTCTACTTCCCTTACTCAGTCTAATCATACCTAGCATAATTATAACAGTAATTTATAATTACTAAATTTTTAGCTTTTCTCAGCTAAAAATTCCAACGGTATATGACCAGTACATTGTAGAATGTATAATCTTGGTCAAAAACCAGTTACATAAAATGATTTTTTACAGAAATGTCCATTCTTACTTTACAAAGATATGCTATAAACTTACCCGAGGCCCTAACATAATTTAACATTTTATAAAAAAAACCACATAGGATCCAAAACCCATTGGGGACCTAAGTAAGCACTATATTACTGGCTGGCCTATGGATCTTATTAAATTTCAGCAAAATCTAAAAACCTATAGGCCTAATAACACTCTTTGTTTTTTGACCAAATGTGGCTTAAGTTATATTTTTCTTAAACCTTATAAAATTCTCTATACCTTACAATGCTTTAACTTTTATATTTTTGAGTAGAATATTTATTTTTTCTACATAGAAAACTTGAATAGAAAACTAATACTGTAACACAATTTTGTTGTTACAATTGTGACAGCTGACTAATCTAATACCCCGTCACTAGCAACGTAGTGAAACAGCTGTGAACAAAATAGGTCCGTATTACGCAATGAATATAAATGTTACGGTATAAAATAATTTACTTTAAATTGCCATTAAATTTGATGTTCTATATAGCCCTGAAAGTTATAATAAAGTACAAAAATAATTATAAATGTAAGTAAAAAAAAAAATAACAATAACTATGTCGACATAACGAGATAACTCGTGATGGTGGTTTTGGGCCATCTTGAAGCCATAACGAGTATACTCGTAATAGGTTGCCAATGGGTTAAATCATTTACCACCATCACTTAAAAATGCTATGGACCAAAAACATTCCAGAAATAATATGAAAAATGTTTTATTAAAAAAAGTTGGTACTCTCTAGAAGTTTATTTTAAAAATAAATATAAAGATTGATGTACTTTAGTAGTTGCAGTTGATGTAGAACACCTTTTGTATAGTAGAAATTTTTTATTTTATTACACTATTCTTGTATGTATGTACAAAATGAATAACAAGATTTTGATTGGATAACATTTCCTGATTTTGCTACTTCATGAGATAAAATTATATTTAGAATATTATTTAAAAAAACTAATCATTTTGCCAAATCATACGAAATTTAGAGATTTGAGGCGTGATTATTATTAAGAAAGAAGTTTTTAAGGGATATTTTGAAGGACAATTTTAGTCTAGTTTGAGAATGTAGATCATAAACGGTTATGATATTCTGATATATGATCGGTATATGATAAGTTTGACACCCTGGTAATAATTGAATGCGCCAACACAGGAGCTAGCTGGCACTGTGTGGAACCTAACTTCCTAAACAGTTGCCACTCAGAGGTCAATGTATTACTACTGACCACATTTATTTATCACGCTCAGCAACAGTGTGATATATTTGCAATACACGACCTTACATGCTCAATTGTGAGACTATCTTTTCATTCTAAAGCTTGTTGCCACATCAACATGGGGTATTACCTGCAGTTTCTGCTTAACCTCCGAGCTGGCCACTGCACTTTGCTCATGTTTCTCCTTCTTCTTGAGAGACTCCAATCTCTCCTTCTCTCTCTGCTCTCTCTGTTGATCTTCCAGGGCCTTCTGTTGCTCCCATAGCTCCTAGAACACGCATACACCTACAGCACACATCCGCGACAGATAACATAAGCTTTAAATGTTAAAGCTTTAACAATTTTAAATAGTGATGTAATAGTGAGTAAACTTTAGAGACAGCCTGTATACGTTGAGTCCCAATTATCCAACATGCCTTTTTATCCCTACTTTTACTTTCTCCCCTAACATAATGTATGGAGAAATTATTGTTTTTTACAATATCTAATACTGTGATGTTTGATATTCCAGTGTGTGATACACAGTAGCAGATACGTCAAGACCACCTAGTTTACCGCCCCCTTGTGTTCGGAAAATAATCACCAGACTTAAGGGTTTTGCATTTGACTATATTTTCAAAGTCTTAGTTCTGCATACCACACAGTTTGTCATGTCCCCTTACCTCTCTTATCTTAGTTGCGGTAAGAACAGACACCTATGGCTAAGTGGACATGTATTACTTCCATCTCACATTTACAATTACAGTATTACAGAAGTGTTTTTTTACACTGTCAGATAATTGTGATGATGGATTCCAAATGTAACTAGTTACAGTTTGAGAAAAAAATTTATAATCCAAAGAATAAATTTTTTTATGTGAAAATTTCTGGGAAAAATTATAAATTTATGTTTGTAAAACATGTTTTAAACTGTGCTTACACAAAATTTTTATATCAACTACCTATAACTTATAGATTATTTATACACTTTAAGGTTAAACCAATTTTATGACAAAGACAAACATACAACTGATAAAACGTCAGAGACACTTTTACCTAAACTTGTTCTACATAACAATATTATAATGTCTCAGCTACTGCTGTAGTTTCAATATTTATCAGCTTTCACTGATGTTGTGTCACTAGTTATTCCTGGAAGACTACCAGCCATGTGTCACAACATCATTTATTTTTACACTGCCTCCACTGGATAGCTTTCATATCCTATCAGACACTGGAAATTTACTTAACTTATTATTGTCATCAGCAACATACACAGGTAGAAAACAACTTACTTTTCAACTATATTACAAAACATCAGTACCTACATTTATCATTTGAAGTGTCTTTTCTTTAATGTGAACAATAATTAATGTATTGTGAATCTTGACACAAAAAGAAAAAAATGGATAAACAATAGATATAGTTTAGTCAATCTAATTTGCGTATAGTCTGAAAGTGTCTATCAAAACCTTTTTTTATTTGCCATGTTATAAAATTGTATGACCTATGCAATTCACTAACTAACAATGTTTGTAAAGAATTTAAACTTTTTAAACCATAAGTTTTATTTAATTTTGAAAAATTATTTCAACCATTAATGTAATAAAAATTACTGTTTCAAACTTTTGATACAGTTGTTAATTTTCAATTTGTAAATCTTTTGATTGAGTACGGTAGATGTACTGTTGAAAATTTTATAAAAAGGCATTTTGATCTTGAAATTAGAAGCCTTTCATAGGCCACACAATAAGCATTAAAATGTCTTCCGACTACAGTAATTTTTTTCATACAATTAAAAATTCTTTGTTATTAACAAGCCTTGTTGATACATTTTGTTAGGGGTTTTTGTTGTAAAATGTGGACTGCAACTTAGTAAGATCAACATACAAATTGTTTATTGGGCACAGATTTTTTTATTCAGTCTATACATTTTGAATGGAATTACGTTTCATCACTCATTAAAACCCTTTCACTTAGAAATGTTGACGTATTGGCACTTGTCATGTTACCTTGAGGTGATGTCTGAGTTGCTGCTCATGCTGCTCTGCCAACTGTTGCTGCTGCGCTTGGAAGTGCTGCAGCAGAATCTGCTGCTGTAACTGCTGCTGTTTCTTCAGCTGAAACAAACACAATTCATTGGTTAAGTTTGACTCAACAGAAAATTAATTTTGTTGAAGTATTGTGTCTATATACGCCAGCTGCATTTGTTAACATATATCCCTAGTCTTTTTACCATTTAATGTCGACCTGTTGTTGAAAAGCATCATTAATTGATAGCCCAAAGACAAATGTGATCTGTGTCTGGTAACGACCTCGCTTGGAATTATACCAGCAACCATCTGATTAGAAGGCAAGCAATATAACCACTCGGCTACACAGACAATTAGAAAAATCTGTTGTTACTGTACTTTAAAATTATGCCATCTGTATATGTTACTGTTAAGAAGCTTGTTCTATGAATGTTTCTGCTTCTACACATCAGCACAAATGAGAGGATCAAAAACAAAAATGTTTACTTCTTAGAATTCAACTCATGATATCCGATGATGATGATGATGATGATGATCCAATGATGTCCAATCTAAGTTAGTTAGACAATTCTAAAAAAATATCTACCAATTAACACACAAATTACTGTTTGAAGCATATTGTTCACACAGTTTAAAAGTTTAAGAGTCTCATCTGTCTTGTATCTAAAAATACTCTTGAATGCCCTTGGGATTTTAACATTCCTACAGCTTACTTAGAAAACAACTTTATAATTGGCATTATTTGTCCCTGCAGACACCACTGCTGCCTGAATCACAAACTAAAATAAAATTTCTATTTTTAGAAAATAGGCTATTTCAAATATTCCAATGAGACATTTTATTAATAACCCTTATCTGTATTTTTAAAAAGTCAACAATTATTGTTTATGTTATTTTATATTTTGAAAGCATTGCAAAACAAGTATAAGCTCAAAAATCAAATCTAAATTATTTAACAAAAATAGTTCCTTACAGTAATCATAAATGATTGCCAATGCCACATCAAATCTATTGATAATGATAACTACTGTGAAGTGGGGAAGAATGTTAACATATTCAACAAGCTCTGATTACACAACTCAATGAGTTTCTATTTACTTGGTTATCTTGAAGGTGTGTAGCTTTATTGTTCTGATAAGCTACTCTTTCTTCTTCTATTTTTAACTTTTACAATTCATAACAATCTTATCAGGAACTACAGACATTTCCCAAGTGCAAATGCAAACTGGTTTGAAATGGTATTTATTGTTTAGCTTAGAATTTACAACATATTTTGTCAAATCAAACCCTTTATGGGCAGTGACCTTTTACATGTATTGGACATTGTCAATAACTAGCCATTAAATTTTAGGATAAAATAAATCCTGTGTAGCAAAGAAAGTATTGCTAATACTTAAAATCGTTTAAGAAGTACCAGTGGAAGAGTGAGGTATGTAAACAACATATAAGCGAAGAAAACCGGTCAGTTTTTTGTCACTGAGCTAGAGTAACAAACCTAACAGTACAAGCATGTTTCTAAAACTAGACAACAAACTAGCGGTTGACCTCAACTGCTGGCTTCTTCTGACCTTTACATTCCCTTCATGTAAAATCTCTTTTGTTCTTGTTATATGTTGCATTCATAGAGGAAAAAGTCTGTATAAAACCAGATCTCATTAGAAAACTTAAAATTCCAAATCATATATTACAAATGTACTATATTGATTAATTGATTGTAGGTAAAATTTGGAAACATAACTATTAAAATTATAATAATCTTGGGTTTTACTTTTAGTGGGCTTAAAAAGGAATAATTAATGTTGAGTGGATATGAGCTACTAAAAAATGAAAATCATACATACATTTTTTACACACTTTTACAATCCGTGACTTAATTTTCTTTTTCTAAGGCGCCCAAAATAATATCGGGGATTTTGCGGGTCCATCAAGTCTGATGGATCGATTGATCGGTTACTAGCCGGGCACTGTGCTAGGGCCGACTCTAATATTATCCGCACAAACATGGAACTAGATACTATACTCAATCTTCAATACTCCATAGCGGTTCAATGGCCATGAACTTCGTTTCAACCCTATTTTAAAAAATCATTTGATAAATAGATTCTAGTTTTTTACTTCAAAGTTAAAAATAAAAGTCTGGTACTGAAAAAGGGAACAACTTTTTCAGTCTTTATATGAGAACCAAGAAGTGTTAATCAATTTGTTTAATGTTGTTATAAAAATTCCACATTTTAAAAAGTTAAATTTTCTTGAATGAAATGTTTCTCTGGAAGGATGTATGATGTCAGAGTATAATAGCTGCCCCAAGAGATAAACAGATTAACTAGAATAAAAACGATAACTTTTTGTACAAAACCCAACATTCTGATCCTGAAACCAATAAAAACGTGTAGTTCACAATTTTTTGTCAATCTTTACACCAATAATTTTAATGCAACTCAAAAACTGAAGCCAGCAGCAGAGTACTGAGCTGTTTGGAGGTACTTGAGTATTTTTAATCCCTTTGTGTCAGCTATAAATACAAGATGTATGTTTGGATTGGTCGTAACTCCTATAAATACTTCGGGCAGCGCGGAAATAGTGGGGAGTTGTAAAGGTCGTACTGTGGCTGTTACGTTTAAACTTTGTCTAGCAAACGTGATTTGAGTTAATCAAATCCAAACTGAGAACTATTGGAGCAAGTTTAAAGAAGGTGGTAAAACTATTACGTAAAAATTACTAACAGAAATTAGGAAATTGTAAGTTTATGTTGCATTAATAATTATTTTTAAATGTCCATAAGAATGATTTATTTAAAGTGTTGATATCAGTCATTATAGTAGAGTTACAACTTACAAGATGTCCGATAATATTAGTTGGCCAAGAACTTTAAAGTGGTTTTAAAAGGTTCTGTAGCATTTTTTTGTTGAAGTTCATCTAAAAAGTAGGCTTTACCTTGTTGTCAATCAGCTTAAAAGTTGCAACTGTGTTTTTGACCGTTTACGCTTGAGCAGCGTCGTCGAGGTTAAATCACATAACACCGACAAATACACATTGCGATTAAACAATACAAAAATGAACAGGCCTGTCGCACACATGGTACCGTAACAGTTGACATTGTCACGATCCGAGCAAGACGCCGACTCTTAAATTCTTAACGTAAATCTAAAGTTATGTTACAGCTGAGGCACTAATAACATGGATTTTAATTAAGTTCATCATTGATTTTAGGTAATTCCAGAAGTTTCTGCTGAACACCCCCTCCTCTACACCAAAAATTCTATTAGTTTACTGTCCCTTGTAATGATGTGAAAAGAGTGTGTTGCTGAAAAGAGTGCAAGAGCGATGCGTTTGATTCCCAGGTCCCAGCATATCCACATAACATTTAATAATTTTGTACCTCTTGCCTTAGGAAGTATTGTGTACAGTACCTCTTACCAAATACCACAAGCACAAGGTAAAAACCTTCTTTATTTCATTCCGAGATAAAAACATTTGCATTAAGTAATTGTGGACTGGTTTGTATTGTTAGGGACTGAGACTGTCTAATACTAACCTGCAGTATCTGGTGCTGGAATTCGTGCCCGTTGGCCAGGTTATTGAGTTCATTTCTCCGACTGAGCGCCGGACTACTTGATGGCGACTCTCTTGTCATCTCTGTAACAAACGTAGAGTTGTGTAAAGGACATTTTAGTTTTAACTGCTCCTAACACTATAAGCACAGCTTAAGACATTCCAACAGACATGGGTGGCAGGATTCAAAGGTAATCTTAAGTCCTTCACATCCACATTCAAAAATGTACTTACTATAATAGCAACTCAGCTTCGTCTTATACACTCCCTATATTGAATTGCTATGCCCAAGGGTCCTTCTTCAAAAACAACTTTTATATGAAACGCACAAAAAACATTATTTATGACTGTCTAAAAGCCATAATTTATTGTTCAAATTTCCATAACTGGTTTGTGTTTGTCTCTATTATCTTTACGACACCTTACAATCTGTCCTGTACGTAGCATAGTGTGCAGTAATTAACAAACCATCTCTCAGACAAGATTTCCCTAAGTAATAGTTATATCAATACTTTATATTGTTATTTTTCTTGTACGGGGTATCTATTGTAAAATAAATAATAATGCTTACACACAGAAATAAAATGTTTACTTAGGTTGAACACTTTCTTAAAATTGTATTTGAATGTTTATTCTGTTTTTTTTTTTAACACACTAATATTAAAGTGACAGTTTAAAGCTATGGTTCCACAGACTGCGGAACTTCCGCCACAGTGCGTAGTTTTTTGTTGCCGAAATAATGCCGCGTAAAATTTGGAGGGGTGGTTCTTCTGACTGCGGAAATAACGTTGCGAAAAATTCAGTTCTGTCCAAACTAGCGACGAGTATAGATAGGAAGAGGAAAGCCCTCGTGGCTGTGATGCTTTATGATTGTGATGATGTTGTCGATCTTTTATCTTTATTGGTGTCAACTCATACACAGATAAACAGATTACCTGTTTTCCCAAGTTTTTCTCCAGTTGTAATCCAAATTACGTCTTTTTTTGCATTGTTTTTGTACTCCGGGTCACTCAACTTCCACAGCACATCATGTTGAGACACCAACTCGACAAGTTCCTCCTCTTCGGTTAATTAAAAACGTTCATCTACACCTCTTTTTACCACACAAGACATAATGAAATTGCAATAACTACACGGTCACAATAGTTGATAACTCCTCTCCGCTGGCGGATTCCGCACTGCCACTGCTCTCTGACCAGTATGATTTGTATGCCCTGTGGAACCATAAATTTCGAACGCGTAAACGCACATTAGTGGAACCACCGCTTGGCTGAAATTTCGCAGTCTGGGGAACCATAGCTTAAAATTCAGTAAGTTTTTTACTTTGGTGGAAAATTCATGTTACTGCTAAATCAATGTAAACCGTTAACACAGTACTACAAGCTTTTTTTTTTAAACTAACTACTCCTCTTTACATACATCTATTTCAAATATATCATATACCGTACTATTCCAAATCCTATATGCACCTCACAAAATGTGCGATAGCATACATAGCTGACTTTGAACTTAGAACTTGCAGCCGGAATTGAAAAATGTGAGCTACTAAGACATTGTATTGATTCACACCACTTGTCGTCAACAATACATATTTATCAAAAACACATCATGTCCCAAAATGTATTTGTATGTTTTGCGTGGCAGTTTGATAAATCTGTTGACATGTTGATAGCAATAACTGTCTGAAGATTAAAGGCATAAAGTATTCACAGGCTGCCTGAACATTGGTCAGTATTCTCAGAATAGCTGGACTGATTGATAATCAATAGAAGACTGCTAGGTGCCCCACGCTCCACTCAGCTTGAGGTGTTTCTTTGCTCAGCAAAATGTCTTCATGAATCCAAACAATAATACAGTACTGCAATTTACTAACTTATTCAAAACCATCACATTTAATACTTTCTATTTGTTTGTTGCATTGTTTAAATTAATAAATAAATAAGCAAAGTGTACAATTTTTATTGGCACAAACCTAGTGTTTTGCACTAGATTAAAATAATAAACCTTCACTTACTGTCGAGTCAAAACATACAAGATATAAACAAGTTCACTGGCCATTGGTTAATATATTCATGTTTTTGATCATAGTTTAAATCAACAACCAGTTATTACAATGGGGTGATCATAGAGAAACCATTCAATTTTAGTTATAAAACTAACATTTTTTTTAAATTTAATTACTAAGAAGAGTCATTTTTTAATACAAGGCACGTACACAATTACGGTATCCAAATATTGTTTAGGCTCTGACCGCATTTATAACAAAGGGTGAATGTTGAAAAAATCATCCTCTAACGGAAAAATTCCTTGGGTGAACATTTTGTTACCGGCAGTGAAATTGTTGTATGTAGTGAAAGTTTTTGAGTTCTCGTGTTGGAAAGAACTCTTTCCCATTCTGGTAATAGTACTGCACATTAAAACCCCCTTTAAATCCAGACCTTTGTGTCCCAAGTTACATGTTCAAGTGAGTTGTAATTTTCTGTTGTGAGACTCACCTTTTTGAGGGAGGTGGGCGAATGGGGGACTGATCTCCACAGACCGGAACGGCCCCACCTCTTCTGAAACACACACAACATTTTCAGAAATACTATATGTCTTACACAAAACTATACAATTATCAATCAATTAATCAATATTATCGCCCACCACATAACCAAAAGTTGCACGGCGTAAAGTGGTGCAACAAACAAAGAAATACTATTCAACCGTTATTTACTACGCAAACTTAACAGTATGCAGGTAAAGAATTTTTTTTTAATTTTTAAATTTTGTTTAGTTAAAAATCTGTATCTACTAACATAATTTTAACTGAATATCAGTATAACTCCAGGCATTGACTATTGGATTCTGTATCAATAGTCAACGCTCCATTTAATTTACACTGTACAGACTATTATCATCCGAATAATCAGGAGAAACAAATGAACTAGCAAAATACCGTTTTTACGGTTATCAGTTAAAAACGCCAGTTTAAGCTAACCTCTTACATATTTTGATATGTCCCATAGTTTTGTCCACCAGATGTACTTTTGCTGTCTTTTTTGTTTGTGCTGTGTAATGTCAAAACGTACATTATTGAATTTGTTTTAAAACCATTTTTGGTTTATTAACAAAAACCTTTGAAGAAACACACAACTATCTGTATTTGAATATCCAGGTGGGGTCTGGTCCCACTTTAAATGAGCTTCATACGATAACCTTTTATCGATTACCTCCAATATCAACCCTTTAAAATCAACAATCTAATTTCGTAAAAGCTGATGAAAGACTACAACGATTTGATCACCCAAAGTCAAACCATGTGTGAGACACCCAAAGACACTATCTGTCTGTCGTCTGTTGTAATATCTGCCGCCAATTTCTGAGGAAGGTTGCGCCACGAGGGCAGCTATTTTTACTCAGAGGGACAAGTGGAGTAGGCCTGGAGATAATGGACGATCTGTGAGCCGAAGCTGTGAAGTGACAGGCAGGATGGACGCTGGCGCCACTAAACAAGTCATACTGGTGCTAACGGTCCTGAGAAAGCGTTAAAAGTAAAACCTCAAATAATAAAAGCCAAAAACAGAGACCGAACATGTCCTACACCTAGTGTCGTCTTAGTAATCATTGACAGGAGAGCTTTCAACATGAAAATGCTAGACTTTCCAGTATATCTACCTCAACTGTCAGTCACGAGCGCTGGACCTTTAAATAAAACAATGTCCAACTGAATATTATGAACTGGCAGGCCCAGCCACAGTAGCATTGGCAGGTCTACAAAGTAGGGTGAAAAGTATCCTCGTAGAATCCAAAGTCAATTAGTGTACCTGTTGCCAGGTCGGCTGTTACTAGTACAGGTCCTCTAGATCTGGTATAATGACGCCGTGTCCTTGAATGTTCCCCATGACATATAAAGCAGCACACCAAGCCAAGCCTCTACAATACCTGCCTCAACTGATATCGACGCAGGTCATTGACCCAGTGTCCATGAACGGTTAGAAGACAGGTATTCTGCCAGTACCTACCAACCAGCTGCCATACATACAGTATCACAACTGATATTGGTAGGTCTGTCAAAGTGCCGTTGATTACCTGTGTTGGTCCTCCTAGGACAATGACCCAATGTCCTTGAATAACATGACAAGCACTGCCCGGTCCAGCCTCAACTGGTTTGTTAACATACTGTTATACTTTAATCAGCAAAGGTCCTCTAACCATAATAATGAAAGTTTTGTAAAGTATTTGTTTAAAAGTGCAACAAGACATTTTGGTACCATCAGATTCATCCAGTAGTGATCCAAGGTACATCTGCATCACAACTATTAGCAACAAGTCTGAATGGCCCGATGATGGCTTTGGCAAGGCAAGGTGCAGTTTCTTACTGCCCTCGTCTTCTTCAATTTAGTTTGCTACGACGATTTTGTTTCTGAAAATAAATTATCTAAGTTAGTTCTTTATGTCAGTAGGTCAGTACAACAGTTCAGAGAGAATGGGCACCAAATTGACGATCACTTTAAAATTGTACAAAAGGGGTTTTAACAAATTAAGAAGCACAGGATAGTAAGGTTCAATCTCAGAATATTGTCTGACATCTTTCTTTATCCCTCCTTGCTGCATGTTCGACGATTCATTAACTTTGTTGTTGCTGTTGCACTGTCAATACACATGTTATTATATTCAACCACAAACAACACGAAGAAACTACGAAAAATATTAATAGCCCAGCATTACAGCATCATTAACTTCAATGCTTCAACGTAGCTGTCATCAGAAAAGGAAGGCATAACAAAGTGTAGTAAAAATTTTCCAGGCACGTTTTGAGCGGCGCGGTGACCGGTGACTAATCATTATTCTCATTTATACCAGTGTTCTGTGGTAGCGGTAGCCTTGGGATTTGTTTATTCGGTTGGCACGCCTGTGGTCACTATCACTATCGGACTAGGGCTCAGTGCTCGAACTTCGTCCGTCACTACGTAGTCCAATCTATTTTCGTCTATCTTACACCAATAAATGAATCATTCGCCGAAATTGATTAGTTCCTCCATTTCTAGTCATTGAGTAAACACGGGTCATGGGAAATGTTTTATTCTGTGGTTCATGTTTCCAGACTGTTGTGGTACACAATAGAACAGTGTAATACTATGTAGTCAACAGTTATATTGTATACAGTACTAGAGAACCCTCTTCCATTTTTACAAGTAGCAAACACCGAATCCGTACATAAAAATCTGATTATATTAGTAAATGTTTTCAAGAGGCCTTGACATTTACCCAATTTATCAGTTCGTTGAACAAATTTGACAAAAACTTGAAACATGAAAAATCGTGATTATCAGGAGCAACAGCAAGGTACTAGTTCTAAGCAAAGCCAAAGGTAAGTGGGATCTTTACCAATACAGGAAGTACCAGTACCTAATATTTTTGTTGCAAATATTTTCCGTGACACCTTTTTGAGCATTTGGTTCAGTTAAAGCATTGACTAAGGAAATTCCCTTGTCTGTGGTTAAAGGCTCGTCACACACTGCGTCCGGTACGGTGAAATCGGATCAGGCATGCCGGATCAGGTAAATTCGAAAACCATTAATTCAAATGGAAGTGCCCATTCAGCACAAGTCTCGAAAGACAATACCTAAATTTCACAGTAAATGATACCTATCCTGGACATCCGGCTGTAGTTTAATAGCCACGACCTTAGCGGTATCAAAACTCTTCTAGTCTTTTTCTTGGCGAAGAAGTTTTAAAATGAAGTACGGAAAGTGTGACATGTAGACCCAACTAGGCTAATTCAATGAGTGCACAACACGTCAGTCCAAGCGGCGGTGACAGTGCGGACATCAATGGTGTGGTTGTGGTAGTAGGTCTAGAACCACAACCACGCAGTCTCGACCGGTTGTCGGTCGCGGCGTTCCGAGAATGGGCGGCGGAAAAATACCGAGGCCAGCGGCGGCGGCGGCTCGGGACTAGGGCACCATCAGACAAAGTGTAGCGCCGACGAGGTGTCTGCTGTGCTCGAGACAGGATATGCAACACACCGCACCGTGATAATAGTGCCAGACAAGGCGTACTTTCGAAACAGCCATCGCCGACATAAAACTACCATTTAACCGACAGAATATCTCCAACAAGACATGTTCCCAGTAGAACACCCTCCGGAGGTCAGACTTTACCAACCAGGCACACCGCACACCTCCGATTGATTAGAATATTTCTAAAAATGCATTAAATCCCTGATTGAGCTTCCTCAGATCAAAAATGTCCAACAAGATCTCCAACACAACCTACACCCCAACAAGGCACAACACCGAAAATATATCTCCAAAATGACACGCCTCCGATGGAGCTACAATTGAGTATTTTGAGTATTTTAACAACAATAGCTCCGACAAACTATCTCCAACAAATCATACCTCCAATATGATTTCCGACCAGGTATGCCTCCGAAGATGGTACTGTATTGAGAGGTCCCAAAAGAAAAGTTGAATTTGATTTAAAACCCACGATTCGGCACGAGATACAACAGGTGTTTGTCGCGCCGCCGGGCAGTAGCGGGCTAGCGGTTGTTTGGTTGTTGTGCCAGGCCGGGCATGGGGCATCATCTGATAGGAATGCCCAATGCCCCCCTCCCACCAAAGACACTGCCCTACCTTAGTGTTACTGTTACGGCACTATTTCAGCTGTAGTATACACTCACAACAAAAGCCTTTGTATCGCTTTGTTTAAAAAAAGACAGTTGTTGAAATAAACAACTTAATAAATAAATATGTGCTACGCTCACTGCCGCCTTTAACTCGTTATGCTACAATACATATCACTCTTTGAATAAAGAAGAACAGTAATTCTAATTAATTTAACTGCTGTACACTTTGATATCAAACTGTACAACTAAATTATACGTCATCGCCGCGCATTTAGTTAATAATATAATAATTATACAAATATATAAATAAAATAACAATATCGTCGATTGAAAAATTCATCGTGGTAAGAATATCTATAGCGTGAAGAACAATTCTTTCTAAACGACCAGGTGACCTTAGCTAGGTGCTTTTCGTCGTTCATCTTCTTCGTATCTTCTCCCACTACGCACTATGCACATAGTGTGTCGGTGTCGTACGATCTATCCGCATATACATAGGCTACTTTGTGTTGGTGGTTGCGATTACAAAAAATAAATAAATGTTTGTGCAAATTTCACTTTCGCCTTTGACTCTCTATGAAAGTTAATGCATAAAAAACAGTCATAAGTTTGATATTTTGCCAGTAGCAAAAGCGCTTGTAAAGGCGGGTAGTGGTGTGTTTTGGAGGGAGGGGACCATGACTCACGGGTACACGACCACGCCATGCCATCGGCAGTTACGGTAGGGCGGTTTATTTTGAGGGGGGTAGCCAAACATCGATTGGGGTAGAGTCGACGCTTTTCCTCCTTTGCGCGCCACACTTGGGCACTTGCCGCTCTCCGCTCTCGCTAACTGCCGCTTAGTGAAAACCTAAACAAACCATTCCCACCACAGACCTCATCGACCCGCGGTATACATTATGTCAAATATGTTAAAAAAGGTTAGCTGAAGGATTATTACGG